CTGAGTAGCTGTTTAATGTCACCTGTTCTCACACACAGTAAGTATGGAGCATAGTACGGTGCCAAGTAAACACGGTTTAACTATCTAACTCTTTGTAGCTAAACATTCATTATTTTTTATTTTTGCGTAAAACTTAAAAACAAACAAACAATGAACGTCAATGAACCACACCCATTGTTTGAGGGTTGGTTATACTACTTGGGGCTGCTCAAACTTCCGTGTGTATGGAGGAGTAACAATGTCCAAACCCTTGACCCACCGGTTGCTTGGTTGGTTGGTAGTCGACGTCCTAGACCAGTGACATAAAGCCCCACAGATCAATAAAAGTAAATAATTATTCGAGGGGCAGATTATTATTATCGTTATGATTATTTCCTTTAATTCGCAGAAGAATATAGGGCTTCGGCCGCGCGTCTCCACTGCGTTCGGTTCTCTGCCAAGGTTTTCACCCCGCTCCAAGTCTGCCCACATGCTTTCATCTCCCCCCCCATATAACCTCCTCCAAGTCACCCCGCCCTCGCACTGACGACCAACTCGCCGCTTCCCTTTCGGGTTCCACTCGAGCCATGGCTTGTCTAGTGATGTCACTCACTTGATGGTTTCCTCAGAGTATGGCCAGCCAATCCATCTCCATTACTTCCTGCCTATTTGTTTCACAATCGGTTCCTGGTTGGTTCGCTCATTGCCAGAGATCCCTGTTGCTGATCTTTTCTGGCTGGACATCTGATCTTGAGTGGTAATGAGCGAAGACAACTGTTAATGAAGGTCTGAAGTTTGTTTGAGATGCTCTTTATGGCGCGCCAAGTCTCTGATCCGAGGGGGGGTGAATGGGGGTATTATAATCCACATGGAGTTAGTTCAGCCCATGTCAATTGTCAAACGAAAAACCTTTTTCCTTGTTTCTCTGGCTCATCAACTAGAATTGAAAACAAGCAACAAAAGGTGTTAATAAAGCAGGATGATTTAATGAATTCATCAAATTTCGGTAGAAATCTTCCTCAGCTGAATACTCTACATACGGCGCTATATATACTATTAAATTACATTGTGAGATATAAGACTGATAAGTAAATTAACTACATTAAATTGGTCATGTAGAAAGACAGGTGCGAATGTTTCCCAGGTCATGTTCAATTAGATAAGCGGAGAGGGAGTATGAGAGATCAAAATTAAGATAAATTGCATTACGCTTCAATTAAATCACTTAGATAAACAATTAGACAGGAATCGCAAACAGAGTAATATCAATAGTAGTAGTTACAATAACAATGATAATAATAGTGTTGAAGTGAGTTAAGATAATCCAACTGATAAATCATAGTTTTAAATGAATCAAGAATAATAATAATATTAAGAGGTAGAACAATAAGTAAATCGTATAACCATGGTGGGTTCAGAGACACGACCATCTCCTTTTGTACACAGAGACCTGGTTTATAAACTCGAATCTCACAAGACTCCTCGGCAATTATAAGCATCTTCTTGTTTCTTTGTTTGCTGACAATGGTGAATGACTTGACAGCGTCGATATCATGTCCGTAGTCCCCAAGATGCTTTGTTTGTTACTGAGCTTTTTGACACTATGAATTCAGCTGTTTTGGACTACTCTGGCGAATGCTGCATCATGTGAGTAGACAGTCACCTTTCTGTACGACCTATGTGTTTGCTGCCATAAACACACTCATCAAATTGATATACTCAGTTTGAAGTGTCGAGGATTGGCGACTAGTCTTTCCCAGATTGTTGAAGCACTTTCTGCTTAGTGGTGTTAAGGAACACGAATGAGTTTTGCAGCACAATAAGTTCTCGCGTCTTCGTTTGACTACCTCTTGTACATCATAATCTCCTTTGAATGGCAAATTGATATAGACAGATTTCTTTGGAAGAACTGTTTGGATAGTTTAGGATGGGCTCATTTCTTTAGAGTATTTATTAATCAATGAACTTCTCAGGATATATCCATTCTTAGATAAAATATCCTTTCGAGCTTTTATTTCATGCTCAATTGTACTGTCAGAACAAACTCGAGTTGGAAATACTCGAAATACCCGTTTATTTCTGAAAACAAGTTGGGCAAATTTAATGCACCTAAGAGAAAGTACAAATCGTACAGTTAGGTTCCACTGTTAATTTCACTCTCTTAAGTACTGCCTTATTGTAATACTGTTAAGGGTATTATGATTATATTGTAGTAGTGAAGTGACTACTGGGGGTGGGTGAAGAGGTGTTGTGACTTATCGATCTGCGCGCTTGACTTCCTACCTTTGAGTTGCAAAGCTGAAGTCCCACTCCACCTATCTAGATTTAGGTAGTGAGCTGCTATCACCCAGCAGCTGTCAATGGATATAGATGTGTTGTGGTGCATGGAACTGCGAGTAGTGATTGTTGACTAAGCTTGTCATTGTCATTAGAGTTTGAAACCAACCACAGAGAGCAATATATATATATGGTACTAGGTCTTCATTTGCAATTAGTAGTGTTCTCTGAGCTGGTTGGTTCGGTTGCGTAGCTTTCGTCGTCCTTCTGGACAACTTCTTCAGCTCCGCAACCCCAAAAGCCAACTAGCTCAGAGAACACTACTAATTGCGAATCATCCACCTGAGCTATAAATCTTCTCTATTCTTCATAATGTGGAATATCTCTTATCACTTTATGTTCTTGTTTCGCATCTCTCTAGCCAAGGCCTCCAGTTTCTCTTCTTTCACTCTATCTTGTCTGTCTGTGACACTTTGATCTTTGAGAAAAATTCAGCTTTGAAACCAGTCATATCCCCTGTTCTTTGTGTTTTCCATCTCCGCTTTCATTTAGTCCCTTGCGTTCTGAGTGTGGAGCATAGAGGACTTCAGACTTGAAGCCTTAAAGTTTCTATAAGAGTGGTATTTGTTTTTCATCAAGCGATAGGGTGGATTGTCTCACACTGAGTCTTCCCTCTTTCCCAGTCTTGAGACCAGCTAGATGAGGTTTAGAAGAGTGCATCGTCGTCCTCGAATCTAACTGTCGGCTACGTGCGCGTGGTCAGTGAGCATTCCGCAACACTAATCTTCGTTATAATTTTCATTCGATAGAGAAAGAAAGACCAGATTTGCAGACCAGATTCCGCAGGTTCTTATCAGCTGACTGCAAACCACTACCTGAAAATACAATGGTTATAAATAATAATAATAATAACATTTCATACTTCATTGTTTGAAAGGTAATAGAGAAAACATTATAAGGTGAACACAACGCATCTGGAATATAAGTATTGCAATTTATAGTTTAAGTTACCATCAATTTATATACTGTCAAATTATGAAAAAAGAAAAAAAGGTGAGGTGGAGGTGGGAGTAAACAGAAAACATAAAAAATCTAATAAACAGTGTCAACATGCCAATTCAAGAAGGTCAAAGTTCAACAATTTGGAAACTTGCTTAATGAGTTGAGCTCACTAGTGTGTATGACTAATCAGTGTAATGAAAGTGATATGATTACCAAGGGAGTGAGAGATTGACTACACTCGCTTTCTGTGTGCATAAGTTTGGTCTGTGACGTTTGTTTGCATTTGCTTCAGCAGTAAATCGTAGTAGATTCGCTGTCCTTTGTATGTTTAATGTTTTGAAAGATTTGGAAATCTCGACAAAATGACCCGTATCCACAAGGTGTCTTGTCTGGTGATTGCACTTTGTAAATATCTGCTTCCTCCTTATAAGCATAAGTTTCTCGGAATATGCTCTGAAAACCGGATGGATAGAAGCCCTTCTTTCTATCCTTCCAATGTACTTGCTGCCGCAGGTACACTACTTACTTTACTTTACTTCGGCTATCTCCTACGGGAGGATGAGCCGGCTTCATGAACGTCTCGAATCATCGCTGCCCAGGCGCGGCAATTTGTAAGAGAGTTCATGAAGTTTCATGGGAATTTGGTACGAGTGATGTCCCCAGCATCGCTCGTACACAGGTACACGTAAATTTATAAATGCAGCTAGAGGTAACATCAGCAAAGTACTTATCCAGTTTCGATTGTCTTATAGAGCATGTAGTACTGTATAGTATCACCAGGTTGGCTGCAGGGAAGCATCTTCCTTATTGCTCCTTTCATCCTCTTTTCAATCTTCTGCGATACGGTTTCTACTTTGTATAGGAGGCAAATGAACACTTTCTTCTTTTCAACTGTTGGATACTTCACTTTCTCATCTCTTTCTTCGCTGTACTTTAGGATAAATCCTTTTGAATACCCATTTTCTTTAAGGCATTTTTCAACAAAGCTCAATTCTTCTTCCACCTTGTTAGGCGAACATAACTTCCTGGCTCTGTCGTACAGTGTCCTTACTCTAATCCCCGCTTATAACTCATAGGGTAGAAGCTGTTGTAGTGAAGGTATTGTCCGGTCTAAGTTTCTTTTCTGTAGATGATGAACTTTTCGACCGTTCCACCGTTTCTTCTTTTTATTACATTTAGGTCCAGGAAATTGAATTCATCGTTGTGATCGTATTCCATGGTGAATTTAATGTTTAGGTGGACGTCATTTAGGCGATCAAATAATACGGATGCCTGATTCATGCCGCTACAAACAACAAAAGTATCATCGATGTGTCGACGGTAGTATGTTGTTTTTTGATTGATAGCGTCACTCAGTCGCGTATGTGTCGAGATATCCCATGAAGATGTCTGTTTTCTGTCTTCTCTCACCCCCTCCCCACCTTTTTCATAGTTTGACAGTATATAAATTGATGGTAACTTAAACTATAAATTGCAATACTTATATTCCAGATGCGTTGTTCACCTTATAATGTTTTCTCTATTACCTTTCAAACAATGAAGTATGAAATGTTATCATTATTTATAACCATTGTATTTTCAGGTAGTGGTTTGCAGTCAGCTGATGAGAACCTGTGAAATAGAATGATGGCAACATTTTATACTGCAAATCTCGTCTTTCTTACCCTATCGAAATTTATCAAGGGGACGAAATATTTGAAATAATTTTCTTTCTATTTCTCTCTCTCTCTCTCTTGCTACAGGAGTTGGAGAGTATCATGGAAAGAGAATATGAAATGATTGAACAAATGCGTCAACAGTTGCTTCAAGAACGTCAAGCATTTCATATGGAAGTGATTAAGACAATGGAGAATCGTGCTAGATCTTTAGTACACCATCACCATCAACAACAACAACAACAGCAGCAGCCACAACCACAGGGTGTTGGTGGTGGTGGCGTTGTTGTGCCTCAACAACAACAGCAACAACAGCCGCCGGCCGCGCTACCACCTCAACCCTTACAACCGCAACCACAGCTACAAGCACAACAACCACAACACCCTTTACAATCCACTTATGTTCCTCAGGGTAATGCATATCCAGTGAATCAGATTACGCATATAAATCAAGTACAGGCACAACAACCACATCAACAACAACAATTGCAACCAGGTGCGCATATTATTCAGCAGCAACAACAGCCGCAACAGATACCTCCTACATATTCACCACAAGTTCCATCGATACCTAATGATCCAAGATTATTGTTGAACAATAATCCAACAGCTACAGGAAACTTGTCTGTCTATCCACCAGCACCGTCAGCACTACCACCAGCACCGCCACAGAGTTATCCTTCGACTGTACAGCCATCACCACTACAACAGCAACAACAACAACAACCTCTAGCACCACCGTCATCCACCTCCTCGTCGTCATCATTACCATCGCCTAATCAACAACCTCCATCAGTTGGGCATACTTCACCGACTCCAACTCAACTGATTCAACATCATCCACGTGAAGAGTGTCAAACAGCAGTCAATCAATCCTTACCACTGCAGGCATCATCAATGCCTAATACTGCTAATAATCCACCACCACAAATGGATACAGTGGCTGAAGTTTGGTCTAGTTCTGTATATCCACCGCCGACAACGATGCCAACAGCACCAGCGCCACCACTACCAACAACAACACCATCATCAATGGAGCCACCGCATACTATTCGTCAATTTATTGAACCATCTTCTAGAGATAATCCCATGCTGCTGCCGGTACCAAATATCACTTTGACGCTATCTCAAAATGTCAGTCATCCATCTGATACCGTGACGACAGCAACAACTAACACTAGTGTCTTAGCGAATAGTTTAACCTCTAAACAACCATTGTCTACTCAACCTGTTAGTTCTGGTGGTGGTGTTGTTGTTGTTGGCGGCAGTGGAGATGGGTGTAGTGAGGCGGCGTCAGCACCAGGAGTTTTTCAATCTACTGAACACCATCCCCACCACCAAGAACAGCAACATCAAGTCTCATCGATAGAAGTGAACTCGTGTACTGTTGCTAGCCTCCTTTCAGATGATAATAATAATGCGAATATAGAAGTTCCAGAAGCCTCTGTAACTGCATCGGTTGCTGCCACTGTCGCTGCGACTACTACTACTACTGCTGCTGCTGAGGGTAGTGGTAGTCCATCGGTGCCATCGGACAATAATCCGTCACTAGCACCTCCACCAACACCGCAAACACAAACACAACCTGAATTGAGTGGTCCTACGAAAAAAGAAGAAGAACAAGGTAACATTCATCAAGCGGAGTAATAGCATATACATATGTATCACTTCTGGATTGTCTATTTTACGGTCGTACACTACACTACACCACTAGTTCTCTGGTGTGTGTGTGTGTGCACGCGCGCGTATCGCATTCTCTTTTCTCATATTACTGTAATGTGTTGGTGACACGTTTTAGTCAACTTTCATTGTGTTGTTCCTTTATTTTCCCCCTCTCGTTGTAATCAAATGCCATCTTCGTTCGCCAACACACACATACATACATACATATATGTATATCCCCATTGTGTTTACGTCCATCACTCTGTTTCGCTTTTTTGAATATTCAAATTTTTAATATGTGTTTTCATTTGGGTTTGTGCATTTATTAAAACAAATGTCACTACATCACCCCCCACACACCCGCCCACTGTTTATCGTTTTTATTAATCAAAATAATAATAATAATAATATGAATATATTAGTTAACTGATTTTTGTATTATGCAAGTGTGTACGACGTCTGATACTTCTATTCGACTCTTGTCGATCGAGAGAGAGAGATTATTCCCTGATGGTAACAAGTCAATCCTTAAGTGACTTCAACGACTCTCGTTGACTTAGAATATACAGATGATATAGTCCAGCTTGTGTAGGTGAAGACTCTGACAAAATGCAGGAGAGTCTTCTGAACACCTTGAGCTACAAACTACGATTGTTTGGCATGCGACTGACTCTCTGTCAAATGTAAGATGATGCTACACGACTGGACTACATTGACTCCTAGTTTAGAAATAGCGAGTGAAGTGGTTGGTGGGGTGTGTTGACCACTTCACTTATTTGGGTGGGGAGTTGCATCAGCCAACGCCAGCGGGTTGATCTCTGACGATATCTCAGCACGGATACAGAAGGCTAGCTTCGCATATTGACAGTTTTATGGCATCTCTGGCGTAGGCGTGATATCTGGCTATCGAACAAAGGGTGCTTGTACTTCTCAGCAGCTGTCTGCTCCGTTCTTCTTTATGGCTGTGAGTGTGAGATATCAATGACCATTGGAAGTGGAAGACATGATGAGCCCGACTAGACGTCTTTGACCGTATGTGTCTGCTTTCTATCTCCCGTGTTAAATGTTATAATATAATAGGGTAAGCAATATTAAGGTTAGGCATAGGCCGAGTCCTAGGTGAGTTGAAGGAGATATCAGTAAACGAGGTTGTGAAGCAGCTACATCGATTGAGATGGTTAGGACATGTGTTACGCATGTATGCTTAGCTATCGATCGCCTTCGTCGACCGATGGGCAATTTTGGCTGTCTGACATAGGATCAATCAGGTTGGAAAAGAGTTAACCAGTGGTGGTCAAACGAAAACATGGATTCATCACTCAATGAAATCCACAACGGTTAGTTTGAGCCACTTATGAAGATGTAGACTTCCTGACTGGTTGGGGTCCTCGGGACGATAAAAACCAATGGCTGGAAACAATTGGTGATATGGCTCAAAATCGTAGTTCTCAATGACTGGCGCATATGCGTCCACTCCTTGTGACTTCTAATACTTGTTGCCTCATATCTCTGTTTACTGTCTCTCTTTTGAGTTTCTTTTTACCTTCTTCTTCTCTGGCTTTGTGTGCTGAGTGAAGTGTGGCAACTCGAGCGGCTATGTTGAAACCAGTCGGTCAGTCAGTCAGAGAGGTGATTCTACAGCGCAATGTTTTTTCTAACACATAGTATTCTATTGCAGACTAACTAATCAACAAGGTACACTTACTCTACTCGATTTCATCACTTTGTCATATGAGAAGTGATAACAACCAGTGGGGTGTTCGTCATGGATACCCACTCTCCTTGTTTTGGTCTCATTTGATCATCAGAGATGTACTAGTGGAATTAACCCGCCCCCCGTCGCACCAAGACTTCAGTGACTTAGGGATTGGCTAGTTATCAGAGTTGAGTTTTGTCGATTTAGAGAAAGACGAATTAGTATATGAATGATATTGTCGTCTGTTAGGTGAAGATGCTAACATAAGGCAGATATCTTCTGAATACCTTCAACAGAAATCTTCGAATATTTGTCATGGGATTTACTTTTCTCAAATGTAAGATGATTCTACTGGGCTGAATATGACTGATTGACTGACTGAGTGTGTTTCAACAAAGAACTTTGCAGCATAGAAGTACAACAGTTCAAGTTATTATACTCCAGTGTAGCACACAAAGGAATGATTCAAAAGAACGATAATTAGTCGAAGAGTATGGAAAATAGAATAGCAGATTGAGAAAGATTTTAATTAGTATCACTAGTTACCGTGTTTGTGTATTATTGAAATTGTGAGGGAATTTTTTCACAGAGAAAATTTCCTTTATTCGTCGCCTAAGGCACGCGGTAAGTATGCAAAATTTAACTAAGAATATCCATTAGGTTATTTAATGATAATAACAGCTTTATTCCAAACAGTACTTGTGGTACAGGTATGGAATTTTCAGCGTGCATTACAATATTGTATCTAATTACCTCATAAATTTTATAAGATTTTAAAATCAAAAAGTAACAACCAAAAAGAAATAAAAAGGAACAGCGTAGCGTTTACATTTTAAACAAAGCACCACAGGATATGAAATATAAAGTTAGTATGTAATAGACGTGAACAACAATATACTAGTGTAACAACAGAAGACAAGGGCCAGGCAACAGATCGTTTTATTACGAAAATCAAAACGTATTTATATATATTTCACATACATTATTATAGCTTATGCAAGTAGACAAGCGCAGTCATCTGATTGGTTGTTTATCAGAAGTTAGGCAGACAAACGCAGGTTTCTGATTGGTTGTTTCGGAATTCCTCGAAAAATAGAATCCTCTATCTGCGAATCATATTTTGGCACGTTAAGTCTGCTGTGATTGGTTGTTGAATCAGCCTTGTACATATTTTCTCACGGCCTGCTCTCACCACACTAGTATCGAAGATCTTAAAACAAAAACTAATGAGAACTATTTGTTAGAGTGCCGCAGTAAGTTTATCGTGTCATACCTAACGGATTTCTCATCACCACACAACAGCTGTGCCAGATATGGTATTGTGGAGTTTTTGTACTTTGTGGTAGTCCTAGCATATAGCCTCCTTATAGCTGCTTCTAGTTCTACCAGATGAAATGCAAGGAGAGAGCTGTGTATAGAGAGGATGATCGGGGTCTGACAATATTGTATTCGCTAGTTTCTTACATGACATTATATGTCTATCCGCAATAGTGTTGACCAATTGGTTTAACGATATCCCACTTGCCCTACTAATGGCTTTTAGTGCCCTTCTCAGCAAAGCAAAGTCTTTCTAAAGTAGTCCAGGAAAGATTAATGGGAGCAGTAAGGAGGGATGGTAGAATACAAGAATTGACAAACTGAGAAGGCAAAGACTGCTTTATACCAGACTGCCTAAACTTCCTAACGTAGAATGTTAAGCGAAACATCTTTCTAGTAACTAGCAAGATGTGGGAGGACCAGGAAAGATCGGAGGAAATACTCAACCCAAGGTACTTGACATTAGATGTAATTTCAACCTCTGTGCCGTCAATGCTATTTGGACCATGTGAGCTAGCTAGTTGTTGTAGGTTACGTTTTCGTCTGAAAGTGAAATTGACTACCTGACATTTAGATGGATTCAGCTTAAGACCATTTGAAGAGGACCACTGACTAGCTTCCGACAGAAAGCTATTTAATTTGGAATAATCCGACTGAGAGTTGACAGGCATATAAACAGAGAGGTCATCAGCATACTTAACAAAAGTGGTTACATCAGAATGGGGCAAGTCATGTAAGAAAAAGGAAAACAGAAAAGGAACAAGAACAGTCAGTGCCTTGAGAAACACCAGCTAAAGTAAGTGAGGTAGTGGAGGACTTTCCATTGTAGACGGTCTACTGCTTCCTATCAGAAAAATAGGAATGCAACCACTTATTTGTCCTGCTCTCAGCCTGTGTTGCAGCAAGCTTACTTAGCAAGAGAGACCTGGGAACAGAGTCAAATGCAGACATGCAATCAAGGAAGGCACAGCGAACGTATTTAGCTCCTCTATCTAAGCTAGAGACTATATTATGATGTAGGACAACAACGGCATCTAAGGTACACCCACTATGTTTATAAGAAAACTGGTTGGGGTCATTGAAAGGCTTTAACGAGGGTTCAAGGTTAAGTAAAATAAGTCTTTCCGTAACTTTCAAAAAAGGTGAGGTAATAGCAATGGGTCTAAACTTAACAGTAGGTCCACTTGTTGATTTAGGCACTGGAACAATCTTGACGTAAACGGTCGAATTCCAGAAGCATAATTGGAACCTAAGGTTTTTAAGTGCTTGTAGCTTTTTTACAAATGATGTAGAAGATGTAGTGCGTTTCAAATCGAGAATTAACCTCTTAGGAGAGTCTGTTAGCGTTGTAGTTTATTGATTAATTGTAGGGCTTCAGCAGCAGGACGACATCTCCAATCCACTGCGTTCTATACACTATAGCTGGCTCCACAATTGCCTATAGGTTTTCATTTCCACCTCATACGACCTTATCCATCTTGCTGTAGAAATGATGCCTAACTTGTCGTCCCCAATTCGAGTTCCAGTCTGGCACCGTAACGAAGTGTGTTGTTGTTACTTAAGGGTATCCTCATTGTAAGTCTAAACCACTTCCTTTACCAAAACACAGGTTTTTGGTTGTTTTGTTACCTGTCAGATGTTCCCTGTTGCTTACCCCTTCTGGCTAGCCATCTGATCTTCAGCATGGAGTCAGCGAAATAAGTTATTTATGAAAGTCTGCGATAGCATGTCGAAAATGCGTTTTCGGTGATTCAAACACCGATGGTGTGGACCATGCAGAAGCCTTGACTGGATCAACATAAGTGATGAAAATCTGAATTCTGTTTCTAATGCTAAGTGCAGTGAATTCCCGCCCCCCTCCCCCACTGATTTCGGAATAATGAAGATGGGTCTTGCTTTTCCGATGTTGACTGACTGATATAGTCATCTGTGGTGCCTATATATACATATATATATATATATATATATATAGAGAGAGAGAGAGAGAGAATTAGTTGTGTTCTCTGAGGTGGTTGGTTTAATTGCGGAGATTTTATCGTCCTCTTCTGAACAACATACCCCTTCAGCGCAAGTTTTAGCATTATATGAACTGATTTAAATTCCCCATGAATGACAGAATTGTGTCTCAAGTCACGAAGATGGTTACCAAGAGACGCATACTCATATTCGTGTATTTATAATAAATGAGTGGGTGGGAAAGTTCCAGAATAACTTCTGGTCAAGGATCAGATTAATATAGTTGAAATGCCATAATAAACGGGGGGGGGTAGGGGACGGATAAAGATCAGACAAACTAGCATCATAATTACTGAGAAGATTGACATATTTTGCAATTAAGGGTTCAATTAAAATTAGGATTAAATTAAAAATGTCAACCTCGCAAATAGAAAAATGGTC